AAATACTGCAAAAATAGAACTGATTGGATTGAGTGTGAGAGGTGATGGAAGAATCCATATCATCAAGCTTTCAAATATGGGACAATGGGAAAATGATGGTACTACTTTCAGAAATTATTTCTCTTTAGGGTTCCAGAAGTGAATTTTCAAATGTCTACAGAAGATATTTTAAGGAAGAACAGGTCTGGGGAGAAAGATCTGGTTTATACTGCTGGGGCTGAGAAAGTGGCCAGATGAAAATATCTTCTGTAGATGGTTGAAAATTCACTTCTGGAACCCTAAAGAGAAATTGGGGCTAGAGAAAGACATGAGAGTCAGCTCCATACGGGGGAGAGTTGAAGCTATGGGAATGAAAGAGATGATCAAGGAAAAGAGAACCTTCAGAAACATCTACCTTATAACAGCCTACAGTTAAATAAAGAAGATAGAGAGTTTCCTTAGATAAAGACCATTTGGAGAATAAAAGGTGAACTGGGGGAGTATGTTGTCCTTGAAGTCAACAGAGAAGATAGTCAAAACTAAAAGATGCTGGAGAGAGTTCGAGGAAGAAATACAAAGATCACTGGATATGTTGTTTAGGAAGTTATTGTGGGTCCTTTGAGAAAGCAGTTTTCAGGAAAAGAAATGTTCATAGAGAAGCCAGATTTTATTATTAGCTAAAGACTGGACATAGGGGTGAACTAAATAAGACAAAATTTAATGGGCACAAATTAAAAAAAAACTTTACAAGATAGAGGAGATATCAGTTTGTCTAAAAATCAAGATCTGGGTAGGGGAGAGAGACTTGAAAAGAAAGATTTGGAATGTTTAAGCCCAAGAAGAGATTTGAGGAAAATATGATAGTTGTCTTGTAAAAAGTATGAGCTTCAGAAGTGTTGGCTGAGCTGAATTCCTACTGGGCGGCTAGCTTACCCATGAATACCACTGGATCTGTGATTTTAACAGAAATTATCTTTCACTTATTGGTTAAAAGCAGAGGTTCTTAACCTTTTCTATGTCATGTACCTCTTTGGCAGTGTGACGAATGAAAATCCTGAGACACAGTTTCTGGGTAATTAATAATCAATTTATTTATTAGGCCAGCTAATAATCAATAAACTGATGGTCAGTGGTTTCTCTCCCTAACCAAAGACAAAGCCATGAAGAGACTGGAAGCCTTAATATACTTTTGGAAAACGGAGATGCTCTTGGTGAAAATCAACCCTGATTGGTGGACATTTAAATGAGGAGGTGGGCTAAAAGTCTTTAGTCCTCCTGCTAAGAAGTTGGTTTGATCATAAGACTCAGCTGCCTTCAGCAATCTGGCCCGAGGAATCCATCTCCACCCAAACCACTCTGATCAGTTTTCTCCTTCATTAGCTGGGTTACCCTAAACTCCAAAGGAGTGGTGCAAGGACAAGGGATTATTCCCTCATGGCAACAATTTACCTAGATTAGATTTGGTTTACACTTCAAACAGAAGTCTCCTAGTTGGGTAGGGTCCTGCCAAAGATTGAGGAGCATGTACCCCAATGATTAGGGCAGTCATTATCATTGTCATTAATCATGGCTGATTAGTTTCAGCCTTGCCCTGCAGTGACTTACTGACAGACCTACAGGGGCTGGTCCCTGAATGAGGAAATAAAAAAACTCGATTCTAATTAATCATGAGTTATTAATAGAAAATAATAATTTCTCTCAGCAGTTTGGTGATGTCTATGGACCCCTTCTCAGAATCATGTTTTTAAATGCATAAAACATATGGGATTATGAAGATCAACTGTATTGCAATAGTTATCAAACTTTAAACAAATGGAGTTCTCTGACCCAGTTTTAGAGTTGACTCTTCTTTTTTTTTAATTTATTTTTAGTTTTCAACACTCACTTCCATAAGATCTTGAGTTCCAAAATTTCTCCCCATCTCTCCCCTCCCCCTACCCCAAGATGGCATGTAATTTGATATAGGCTCTACATATGCATTCATATTAAACCTATTTTCACATTAGTCATGTTGTAAAGAAGAGTTAGAACCAATGGGAGAAACTACAAGAAAGAAGAAACAAAAAAAGGAAAAAAAGAGAGAGACAGCAAATAATATGCTTCGATCTGCATTCAGACTCTATAGTTCTTTTTCTGTATGTGGACAGCATTTTCCATCATAAGTCTTTTGGAGTTGTCTTACATTGCTAATAGTTGATCCTTACATTGCTAAGAGCCGACTCTATCAAATTTAGTCATCAAACAATGTGTCTGTTACCGTGTACAATGTTTTTCTGGTTCTGCTCACTTCACTTGGCATCAGTTCATTTAAGTCTTTCCAGGTTTTTCTGAAGTCCATCTGCTTATCATTTCTTTTCTTTTTCTTTCTTTTTTTTCTTTTGCTTGAATATTTTTCCTAGGTGAAAACTATAGACCTCTATCAAAAAAACTCTTAGACTGCTGTCCCTTCCTGCTCTGGGGATCCTGGCCCTGGTCTTGAGGAAATGGTGGTGGCATCCTGGTTCATGGCCTGCTCCATGGTGACACTCCCTCTTCCTTCACCTAAGGCTAGAGTTTACCTGCTGCTTGGTTCCCACCCTGCTTGCTTCCAAGACATCCTCATCATTCAGCAAAAAGGGGAAGGAGGGAAGAGAGACACAGAGAAACCACTCACAGTTCAATGGGCCTAATCTGCACCCCTAAACCCATCCACTCTCCACGCTACCAAGAAAATTAAGACAGGAAGGATGGACATGCTCATTACACTAGGCCATACCATGTGGGTAGATACAGGGAGCCATATCCGGAATTAGGGTGGGGTAGTGGAGGGGAAAGATGGCCATCTATGTTAATGATGCTTCTCTGCTAACTCCCTCAAGTAGCCACGTTCATTTTCTAGTTCCTATACTCAGAACAATCCCTGGGAGTTTGATTCTTGGTGTCAAATGGGCCATAGCAAGAAGGCCTGTTTAACTGGATCATGATAAGAATGTACAGACCAGACAGGTCGGGGAGATGCAACAGGGCCTGGAATGAGGTTGGTAAAAACACAAGCTGGCAGCCCTATCCCTAAGGTTACAGCAGACTCGGGGGGCAGCGGGCATGGTGAGTGCCACTCTCCAAAGTTGAATCTCTCAGATTTCAGAGATGGTCTGGTTGGCCTTCTGTAGGGTCTTGAGCATGAGAGCTGCCTCATTTCAATGTGGGGTCATGTGTTTAGACTCAGTCAGCAGCTGCTCACCATTTCTTATAGCATAATAGTATTCCATTACATTCATATACCATTCTCCAGCTGATGGGCACCCCCTCAGTCTCCAATTCTTTGCCATCACAAAAAGAGCTGCTATAAATATTTTTGTACGTGTAGGTCCTTTTCCCATTTGTATGATCTCTTTGGGACACAGACCTAGAAGTGTTATCGCTGGGTCAAAGGGTATGCACATTTTTATAGCCCTTTGGGCATAGTTCCAAATTGCTCTCCAGGATGGTTGGATCAGTTCAAGAGTTGACTATTCTTAAGAATCTGTTTTAAAGAGTTAGTTGTTTTGAGGCACAAAGATTAAATAATTTGCCCAGGATCACATAGCTAGTGCAAGAGGCAATATTAGAGCCCAAGTGTAGATCTTACACCAAGTCCAGCACTCTATACACAAACAAATCTGTCACTAAAATAGAGTGGCATTAAAGTAAGACAGTACATAAATATGTTAAAATTAAACATAGCCTGTTTGGTCACTCACAAGAAGAGTGGAAATACACAGTATAGGTGCTTAAGCAGTTAGCAATAATCATTAGCATTAGACAGGCACAGGATAAACCCTAACAGTAATCTCCAATGCCCCCCACTTTTCCTCCTAAATCATATTATTCAAGGCTTCGGTATAAAGCACATGCACATGCGCGCGCGCGCGCGCACACACACACACACACACAATTTAAACTGTTCGCCAAGCATTGCAAGGCAGCATTTTTTCTGACATCAAAGTTCCAGAACTTTACATATAGCATGGTAACAACAACCAGAGGGTCTCTGAAATAGTGACAGCCAGCACCTGAAAAAGTGGCAATAAGATAAAAGGTTGAGTGTTGGACAGAAATCACAGTGAGAAGGTGAGAACAGATCAATCTCAGAGCATAGAGCAAAGTGAAGTGGGGATGGCACTGCACCCCACCCCCCCAGCCAACATTCTTCACCGAAGGGCCAGTCCAGTAGGCTCTTGACTAGAGAGGTAAGAAAGAAGGTAGGTTTATTGCTTTAGGAGGAAGGCAAAAAGGAAAGAGGGAAAGCAGTCGGTTAATAACGTGGTTCAACATTGTGCAATGACCAACTTTGATAGACTTAGCTCTTCTCAGCAATACAAGTATCTAAGACAATTCCAAGGGACTCATCATGGAAAATGCTATCTACATCCAGACAAAACTATGGAGTCTGAATGCAGATAGAAGCATACTATTTTCACTTGTTTGTTTTTTCTTTCTCGTGGTTTTTCCCTTTTGTTCTGATTCTTCTTTCCCAACATGACTCATGTGGAAATATGTCTAATATGATTTACATGTATAGCCATAGATTGCTTGCCATCTTGGAGAGGGGGGAGGGAAGGGAAGGAGGGAGAAAAAATTGGAACTTAAAATCTTATAAATGTGAATGTTGAAAACTATCTTTACATGTAATTGAAAAAAATACTATTAAGCGGGGGTGGGGGGAGTGGGCAAAGGGGGACGAATAACGTGGTCTAGGTTTTGTGGAAGGGTGGGCTGTCACTGGTACAAAGTAAAGGGGAAGGCCCGACCCCCCCCAAAAAAAAGTATAGTGGAGGGAACTCAAACCTCCAAGGTTGCAAACCTCCTGACCAAATTTTACAGAAAGAATGAAAAACGTGGCAAGTAAGAGGTCAGGGAGTAATTAGATTACTAGAAATTAGTCACACTGTGTTAGGGTGGTATTTCCACCAGCTCATCCTCTGAATATGGGTGATCTGATACGTGGTTTTGGGTATGTTACAGAGCTCGGGGGGCGAACTCGCGCTCTATCGTGCACTCACCCAGCAGCAGCAGCTTGAGCTCCCTACGCGCGTCTTTCTTGTCCCTGCGCAGCTGCCGCTCAATTTCGGCACTGATGCGCTGCGACTCCTTCTCCTCCGCGGACAAGCAGCAGCACCCGGCCATGGTTTCGCACTGCCCCCTAAGTATGGGTCACCCGGGGCGTCGGGACCAGATTTAGTACCCGCTACTGATTCTCTCCCTGAAAGTGGCTTCTCCCCCTCAGCTTTTCCAGCCCCAGTCTGATCGAAGGATTAATAGACAAGGACGAGTTTAGTTGGAGAAGGGAGGTCTCTTTTTCCTCTAAAACGCGTCCCAAGAGCTAACTCGGTCGAAGAGATTTCTTTCTGGCTGACAGTTCTTCCCGGGGGGCGAGAAGGATAGTTCCTCGGCAGCACAAGTCAAGGCAGATGCAGGGTTCCTTCAACTTAGGGGGTGCCAGCGTATGCAGAGTGCGTTATCTCCTTACCTCCCGAGTCGGATAACCTTATTCGGGTTTTTCTTTTTTCTTTGTTTTTTGCTTTTTTTCCGAGGAGATCAGAGAAGGTTTGAATTGGCTTCCTCCAAACTCGAGTGCAGCTTGTTGTATGCGCCGGAGTAGGTGGACCTAGAGAAGGGGCTTGGGAGGAGAGGGCGCGACTCACGCGCAAAGTTGGGGTGGAGCTGCCCAGGGGCCCCAAGGGGACTGGCCAGGGGCGGCGGTGGAGGAGAAGGAGGCAGGCGCTGCAGGAGGCCAGGGGAGGAAGACTGGCCAGGAGAGTCAAGCCCCAAAAGCAGAAGGGGCCGAAGGCAAGGTCCTAAGGAAAGGTTTCTGGTTCCTGCTGTTCGCGGCTTAGGAGAAGAAGGCGGAGCGTCCAGGAACACTCCGCCGCAGCTTGTGCCCTCGAGCCGGGCACCCCTGACAAATGGCGTCTGTTGGCAGTGGAGTGGGTCTCACTGGGGGCTGACTGGGGTGGGGGCGCGCTAACATCTGGGTCTAAACCTTCAGCACCTGCGCTGCTTCTGGGTCTTCGCCGTTGCAGGAGCTTCAGGGGAGTGGCGGCAAAGCGCTGAGTGCCCGCGCTCCCTTCCTCAGCAAATCTGGGTTCTGACAGGTGAGGGAGTTTCCACAATTCCTCAACAACCGAGGAGAAGGCTGCGGAAGGTGAACGCACGAGAAACAGAGCCAACGTTCCTGCCTTCACTTGGGGTTGAGGCTCCTCAGACGTCTTCCGTTCCTCGGTCAATTTTCCCTAGAACAACTGCTCTGGAGCTCCCAAATCGCTTGTGTAGATAATCAAAGTGTCCCTTCTACTGCTATTTGGCAATAGTGTTAAAAACCCCTCGGTTATAGAGTCGCCTCTGCTGGACTCCACCCAAGTGGTTTAAGTAAAGGCGCGTGTAAATATCATCTCTGGAACCTTCCCACACCCACCGGATTTGAGAAAGGGCGTTCAGGGGAGAGAGGAAATGGAAACTGATGGATAGTTTGCATATTTTAGCATAGAAAAAACCTTTCTCCTGGAAGTTAGAGCATCGGAGCAACACCTGACGATTCCTTAATTCAAAGCAGTTGTTTGACACAAACCCCTTTAAGAATTGTTTTATAAGAAGACTAGATAGAAAGTTTTGTTTTTAGGTACTTCTATGGATATTTATGGTTATATATGTTTGCGTGTACATCTTTATATATGGGTGTAATTGTATACTGTCCATCCAAGTATAATTTGTGGCTGCAGATGTATACATCTGCCTTTTAAAACTTTTATCTTCAAATAAGATATGCAATGTGCTATAGTAGCTGGATGGCCGGCCTGGGAGGCCGGAAGACCTGTGTTCAAGTATTGCCTCGAACACGTTGTAGTTAGTAGACTCACTTAAGCTTTCCGTTTCCCCAGGTAACTGTCCAAAGCACTAAGCTATAGATGTGCTACTTAATCTTAAGAGGAGGTGGGATTTTCATACCTGGAATCACCTAAAACTGATAAAAAAAAAATCACTGACCAAGAACAAACAAAAAAAGTCAAGTATAAAAGGCAGAATGCATTTTTTTTTTTGCATTGTTTTCGCCTTGCACTAGACTGAGGCATCAAGAACAGATACATCGAGAGGGGAGACGAGTAGAAAAGAAAACGTGAGGAGATTGATGTCTTCAGTAACTAAATTTTCTATTACTTCAAGTCTTTGAGTCAACATTTACACTGTAAACATTTTATAGAGGCAGACAATTAGCTTGTGGTGCCTAATTAAGAACAGGCAAATTTAAGTTTGGAAGGAGAATCATATCTTTTAATCATTGATAATTGGGCAGCATGTTCAGTGAAATGAGTTGGGTGTCTTTTTTATAGAGCATAAAGAACTTGGCAAGGTGGAGCTATTTTGCTGCAGGGGTGTACTGTTTATTTTACAGTCCAAAGAATGTAAACTAGTCATGCATTAAAAACTTATTATGTGCATGCATTCTTAAACGTTTGCGGCTTATTTCTTCCCCTCTTTACCAGAGCAGAAATAGACTGGTGCTAACAGTGACCCCTACAGGCAAGTTGCCTGACTGAAACTTTAATCAAGTCTAGACTGCTGGCGTGGTAACCAAACCTTTTCACTCTTTACTTCATTTTGCATTTGTGCTATGGACTTTTGGAACTGTCAAATTAATGGTTGCTTTATATTCGATAGGATTAAAAAAACAAAATCCCAAGAAAAAACTTGATGTTGTCTGCTCAGAAAACATTTAAGAGTTTTCAGCCATCTATGCTATCTTCTGCCAAAAATGTAGGGAAAAAAGAAATCCAAGATAGGTGGTAGGATTTCAGTTCACTTTAACAAGCATTTATTATTTCAAAACATGTGGGTGAATTTGTGGGAAGAGCACTGGTCTGGGAAATCAAGGTACCTGGATTGTAGTGCCTTTCTCTAGAACTAACTAGTAAGCTATATAATCAAATAGTCAATAACCATTTATGAAGTACCTATTATGTGCCAGGCACTGGGCTAAGCGCTGGTGATACAGATATTTTAAAAAAAGAAAAAAAAAGTTCCTGACCCCAGGGAGCTTACAATCTAAAGGGAGGAGGAGGAAAACACAAAAGGAAAACTGAAAAAGGTGGGGGAGTGCCTGGGGAAGGTGTTCTACCTTTTCATTGTGTGAAAGAAGCATAGCCAGGTGAGAAATGAGATGTTCAGACCTGTGCTCTTACCTTAAATGGAGGTTTTGGAGTCCATGGATCCACCCAACAATCAGAGGGAACTAACAAGTCAGCTAACCTCAGGGCAAGTCATTCAGTTTCTTCCCCCCTTAAACAGCAAGTTGTATTAGATGAAGTGTTCTTGGGGTGGGTGATCATTTTTTAAATGTTTTAATAACTGTTTCACTGTAATGGGTTCCTTTTGTAATCCTAATTATTTCAATTTTATGCATGTAAAACCATTGTTCTGAGAAGAGGACCACAGTCTTTACCAAGATGCCAAAGAGGTTCATGATACAAAAATGGTTAAGAATCCCTAGATTATATGATAGATTTTAGAGCTGGAAAGGATTTTTGAGATCATCTTTTTCAATAGATTTGTTTCAATGTATTTATCATATAGAAGAGGAAACTGAGAGGAAATTAATTAATTTTCCAAGGATTTCACTATACTCCTCCTACAGTTCTTTAGGCTCTCTACCAACTATGCTATGTTACAATTCTAGAACAATTATTGAAAATAAGTGCAAAATTCTTTTTTTAATTTACAGGTTTAATTCTCTAGGTTTTTTTTTTGTTTTCAACATTCTTCTTTTTAAATAAGATTTTTAATTCCAAATTTTTCTCCCTCCCTCCCCTCCCTTCTCCCCAAGACAGCAAGCAATCTGATAATAGGTTATACATGTACAATCATGTTAAACATATTCCCACATTAGTCATGTTGTGAAAGAAGAAACAAAAGGGAAAATATACACAAAAAAGTGAAAATAGTATGCTTCAGTCTGCATTCAGATTCCATAGTTCTCTGGATGTGGATAGTATTTTCCATCATGGGTCTTTTGGAATTGTTTTGGATTGTTGTATTGCTGAAAAGAGTTAATTCTGTCATGGTTGATCATTGCACAATGTTGCTGTTACTGTGTACAGTGTTGTCCTGGTTCTGCTCACTTCACTCAGCATCAGTTCATGTAAGTCCAGGTTTTTCTGAAATCTGCCTGCTCATCATTTCTTATAGCACAATAGTATTCCATTACAATCATGTGCCACAACCTGTTCAACCATTCCACAATTGATGGACGTCCCCTCAATTATCAATTCTTTGCCACCACAAAAAGAGTTGCTATAAATATTTTTGAACATACAGGTTCTTTCCACTTTTTTATTATCTCTTTGGGATACAGACCTTGCAGTGGTGTTACTGGATCAAAGGGTATGCTGTTTGATTGCCCTTTGGACATAGTTCCAAATTACTCTCCAGAATGGTTGGATCAGTTCTAAGTGCAAAATTCTTTAAAAATATTGGGTACACTGAAAGAAATTGAATGAAATACAACTAAATGTTAAGTACCTACTATCAACAAAGATACAGAAAAAGTCAATTGTTCGTTCCCTAAGAAGGCATATAGGCCTAGTTGGGGAATAAAATTAATTCAAGTGAAATTTTTCATCATACTTATAAGAAGATATTAAAAGTAATTTTTAACAAAATTGATGCCCATGTATAGAGGAAAGGCTAAAGTGGGGTACATGAATGTAATGGAATATCATTACCATAACATAACAATGAATATGAAGAGTATAACAAAAAATGGAAGGACATATATGAACGGAAGCCAAGTAAGCAGAATCAGAAAACAGTATTGCAATGATTATGATAATGTAAATGGAAAGAAAAAACGAAATTGAATGCTGAATAATTATTATGACTAAGTTTTGCCCAGAAGAAGAATTGGAGAAAGTACACCTCCTTTCCTACCCTCTTTGCAAAGGTGGGATACTATTGGTGTGGAACACAGAATATATTGGCAAATGCAATTAGAGTTGGTTTTTTGGAACTGTTTTTTTTTCCTCCTCTCTTTGCTACAAGGGATGCTTCACTGGAGAGAAAAAGGGAAAGGAGGAATCTATTTGGTAATAGAAATGATATAAAAGCAAAAATACATTTTGAAAAAAGTAATTTAAAAATTAAGTTGGTTTTGACTTTTGAAAGCATAGCATACTTAATTCCTAAGTCTTACACACCACTCCCCTAACCTCTAGTGATTCCCACTTACTTATAGGATCAAATATTTGTCATTTAAAGCACTACACATTTTGGCTCTGCCCTACCTTTCCAGCATTGCTATCCATTAATCCCCTTCCCAAGCTCTTCAGCCAAACTTACCTTGCTATTCTTCACATAATGATATTCCCTCTTATCTAGGTACCTTTGAACAGGCTATCCATGATGCCTAAAAAGTACTCCCTACCTTCCTCTATCTCTTAGACCCCCCAAATTCCTTTCAAAAAGTAGCTGCAATGTCCTACCTGAGGCCTTTTCTGAACCCTTTGTTGCTATGTTTTGTAACTACTTTTATAGGTATATATGTTGTGTCCCCTTGAAAGCAAAGGCTATTTCATTGTTGTTTTTGTATCAGCTCCTGACACAGTCCTTGGCACATAGCAGTTGCTTTAATAAATGCTTGTTGCTTGCTTGCTTCACTGATTGATGGAAACCAAACTAGAGGACCCCTGAAATTCTATATTCTCAATCTGGATTGGAGGTGACCCAAAAAATGCATTTAGATCTTGGAGAGTTTGGGGTAGAAAAAGGAAGATGAGGATGATCTGGAGTGCCCCTGGGAGGATTACACACAGGTCTGGCCTAATCCAGTTATTTTAGGGAAGGTATGTGTTACAAGGAAAGTGTGGAATGGAAAGGTTAGGGAGCATCAAACCAGATTATATATACTACATGGCAGCTAGGTGGTACAGTGAATAAATAGATCATTGGGCCTGGAGTCAGGAAGATCTGAGTTCAAATCCCACTTTAAATACTTAGCTACATGACTTAGCTACAAGTTACCTAGTTTATGCTTACCCAATAACAGGCCCTAACTCCCAGGGTTGTTGTGAGGATCAAATGAAATAATAGTTATAGAGCACTTAGCACGGTGCCTGGCATATCACAGGTAGTATATATAAATGTTAGCTATTATCTATTATATCTCTGGGAAAACCTTTGGACTATCCTACTGCAGATATTTCAGTGGAGTCTACCAGGTCATCCAAAAAGCCTTCTTTTGAATAATGGAATAAGCTTGAATGAAACATAACAATAAATAGGAAAGTCACAGCTGAGGACCTCACCTCTTACTTTACTGAGAAAATTGAGGCCATTAAACATGAAATGCCTCTTCTCTCATTCTCTTCATCTTATGATCTTTTTCTTCATCCCTTGACATCATCCCCTTCTCTTTTTCCCCAGACTTACAATGAAGTGGTCCTTCTCCTTATCAATGACCAATTCTCTACATGTATCCTTGCTCTCTTCCCTTTCCATTTCCAATAATATTCTCTCTCTGTCTCTGCCTCTGTCTCTGTCTGTCTCTCTGTTTCTCTCTCTCTCTGTCTCTATCAAACTCCTACAAAAAGCTGCCTCCACCCTCAACCTTTGCCATCTGGCTTTC